CACGCAAAAGTCGGTCAGATGCTTTGACGATATCTGGTTTTCATCAAAATGGCCCGTTTTGATATCATGTCTTTTCCCTTTCTTTCTTTTTATTATTTATAATTCTATTCTTCCAATTGTCTTTAAAAAATCGGCCAAGACGCTGACCTAAATATCTTTCTGACTCCTATTTCCACCTAATTGGGTCATGCATCATACAACTCTTTTCTCTCTTTCTTCTTTCTTTTTTTTTTTTTTTCTTTTCTTCTTCTTTTCCTTAAGATCGTCTAGTACAATCTTAGTGAATTATTTTCAACTCAATTATTTTCCGTTTTAAAAAAAATCAACAACCTGTTTAGTAAACCGAGTAAAAAAAAAATTAAATCATATTTCTATGAATATTTCTAATAATGCAAGGTGCCACAGAAGCACACAAATGGCATTTTCTTTTTTCTTTTGAATAAATTTTTTTTTTTTTCTTTTTTTTAACAATTTCACCCCAAGTAAGAAGATATTGTCCCTAAGACGTAGTGGGTTACTGAGCGTGAAAGAGAAAGGACAAAAGAACAGGGTTAAGAGTTACAGAAGAAATTCACGAATATAAACTATTACAATAAAACTTACGGTCATATTTATCTAATTCTTGGCCTGTCAAGCGCCATCTACCCGAAGCAGCGGGTTATGAGGCGCATATTTATATGTAAAAGTGGTCAATATCAGAAACAGAACGTATGTAAATATAAAAGGGTGTATTTTATTTGGATAAAACTTTTTTCAGTTGTTCAAGTCTGGTTAAAGACCAGTGAAATTTCTTTGTTTTATTAATCAAACAAGTACAATAATTTAAATATCTGGAAAGTGTTTTAACAGAGGACAGAAAGTCCGACACTGAAATCCGAAAGTGCATTGCGAAAGCGAAAGATGCCTTCCAAAATCTATGCAAAGTATTAAGAAACACAAAATTTCGTTAAAGAAAAGGTGTATTGAACTATTACGTATTATCAATCCTAATATAGCAGTAAGTGTTAGACAATCTCATCACAGATGGAGGACATAATTCAAAAATACGCTTTTAAGTAGACGCCCGAGGGGGTCGTCAATGATGTTTTGACTTGGTTCATCAGGGAGTTTCGGGTCTTTCAACATCATACTCCCCATCACCAAATCGATCCAATCAGGAGAGACCAACCCCTGATTCCCCTCACAATTAAACGCCAACAGCTATCTGGCCTTTTTAAAGAATTAGACGAAGAAAGACCCCATCCGATTGAGTGTTTGTAAAAACCAATCCGCTGCGCGAAATATCTTTTAAATGGCTCACGGTGGGGACTGGCTTCTTTCCTTATTTCGGTGGATTGCAGTCAACAAAAATATGGTTCTACAGAAGGATGCTGAGAATACCATCGACTGAATATGTGAGCAACGAAAGTGGATTATAGAAATTTTAAAAAAAAAAAAAACTTATACTTAACATCAGTAAGAGATATCTTTCTAGGGCACATATTGAGGAAAGAAGGCTGGCAAAATTTGACACTCACAGGACATATTGTAGGCAAGAGGGACAAAGGAAAGCAGTGAATAATCTACCTAACGCCTTATATAAATGGATGGCAGAACAGGGTTTGACAGAACAATTTTTTAAGAATAGGATTTTTTTGTATTGCCGTTATGATTTGAAATATGTGTCATCATTTTCTGGACTAGGTATTTATGCTGATACAACTATTTGCTCTAGTCTTAGTAGCAAACCGACTGGTTTGACAAAGTCAAATCGACAGCTGATGTCAAAAATGGCCTCTAATCAGTAGTTAAAACCCAGACATGGATATATATATATATATATATATATATATATATATATATATATATATATATATAATGAAATATAGTCTTAAGGTGTGCTATATTTATGGAATAAAGTGCTCAATATCAGAGATAGAGCGTGTGTAAATATAAAAGTGAACATAGAAGTCAACACTTAGAGGCGACAGTCTGTTTCATTCTATATGCAATTGTCAGGCCACATATGCTGTTATTTTTTCTCGGATATTTATATATATGCGGGTTAGTGGTGCATTGTGGGTATTCTATTATCGCGGTTATTTTACCGAAGTCCGTTTGTTTATTTATTTAATAAATTATATTGCTTTTTTTATTTTTTTTTTTTGTTTCTTATTTTATTTATTTATTTGTTTATTTATTAACGTAGTAAAAATTTGTTTATATCACTTATTTAACAGTTTTGTTTTGGTTTGAGAATTTAATTAAAGCTATTTGTTCAATTTTTGGGGTTGATTGTTGTAGTTCATTCTAACTATTATTTTGGCGGGAAAATATTTTTTTAATTGATTATTTTATTTGGGATTGGTTTGTTTATTTATTTACTTGGATGAATTTAGGTCAATTTATTTTACTTGTATATTTTTTTTTCGGTTTTCGATTTTTAAGTAACATAGTATTTATTTATTTTTTTTTTTATTTCTATTTTTTTATTGTTATTTTGTTTATTAGTATATTTATTTGTTTTTTTTTTTTATAATTACATATATATATATATATATATATATATATATATATATATATATATATATATATATATATATAGGATGCAATGTGTGTGTGTATGTGTAATATATATATATATATTTATTACTACTGACTATTGACTGCAAACTACTATTGACTACTATATAGTGACTACCACTGGTACTAATGCAATACTCTTCCATAAAACGAATCGAATTCTCATGCCACTTTAATGTTTATGTAAAATAAATACGCTTAAATCCAATTTCATCCCTGCCATGCGTCAATGTCTTAATAGCAGATTCTCCAAACTGACGCCAATTTAGCTGGGTTATGATCCTAGCTAGAGGCAACCGGACGTCTAACCACATTGATAAGCTGTATACATTCTTTCTGTGTATGACAATATATATGCTCCTGAAAAATCGGGAGAGAAATTGTGAGTTTCTAAACAATGACTACTATTGCAGCAAATGCAATACTCTTTTCGATAAAACGAATCGAGTTCTCTCAGTCACTGGCGTGTTTATCTAAAAATAAATACTTTAAATTCATCTTCATCCCTGCCATGCGCCAACGGTTTAGAGGTAGATTCTTCGACTGACGCCAATTCAGACGGATTTCGATCCTAGTTTGAGGCAACCGGACGTTTAGCCACACTGATGAGCTGAAGACAGCGAAACAGTCTGTCTTTGATGATGACAATATATATATATATATATATATATATATATATATACACCTAGTGAGCCAGACAAACCTACCTAGGTTTCACTTCTAAACGGATCGTTTTTTTTTTAATTTACTGGAAAAAACATTTCCCAAAAAAAACTGAGTTACATAAAATATTTAACAAAAACAATGTAAAACTTAGTTATTGTTGTATGCCGAACGTAGGGACTATTATAAATGGATTGAATAAAAAAAAACTAGGAATGATCCACGTAGTAATCCTCCTGCTTGTAATTGTAGAAACAAAAACATCTGTCCATTACAGGAAAAATGCCAGCAGGAATGCGTGGTGTATCAAGTGAAAATTTACAAAATACTGAGGATACTAATCCTAAAACATACATAGGTGCTACTCAGGATAAATTTAAAAAAAGATATTATAACCACACGAATAGTTTTAAGAATGCAAAAATTAAACATAGTACCACGCTATCTACCTACGTATGGAAAACCAAACAAGATAATATAGACCCCATCCTTAAATGGGAAATATTAAAAAATGCCCAAAATATAAAGCAGGCCATAAATTTTGCAAATTATGTGCTGAGGAGAAATTAGCCATAGCTTTATATGATCAACCCAACCAACTATTAAACTCTAAAACTGAAATTCTCAATGTATGTAGACATAAAAAATCTTGGCTAATTAATTAGACGTTTTCCCGTTATTGCTTTCCACTGAGGTTTTTTTTTTTTTTTTTTTTTGTTGAATAAATATTTTAATAGGTTGTTTTGTTTTTTTGTTTTATTTTGTCACGTGGTATGATTTTTAGCTATCACCTATAAATATGTGTGTTTTCTTTTGCTCGTTAGCCAAACTTTCCTTGACGATCCGTTTAGGTGAAACCTAGGTAGGTTTGTCTGGCTCACTAGGTGTATCTAGGTTTGCTCTACGGTTGTATTGAGCTCTTTTGTTAGTTAGTTGTTACTCGTATCGGGGTTTTTCTTTGGGCTTCAGACCTGCATCTGTGCGGTTTTTTTTTGTCGGCAGAAGTCCATGTTTGTAGCTCTTTCTTTTTTTTAAAACCTTTTTTCCTCGAGATTGATTTGATTAGCAAATCAAAAATTCGAGGGTTTTTTTCGAAACGAGTCTAGTTATATATATATATATATATATATATTATGGCATAAAAAAGCAAGAAATTTTATATTATAGGCCATGATAGATTTAAAATAAAAAAAAAAAACACACACCAGTCGACCGGTTTCGTCCCTCTCATCAGAACTGTCATGGATGACGTGAATGAATGGACAGGAGAAAAAAAATAATTATAAAAAAATTATACCAACAAAGATGCTGTTTGACTTTAGAATTAAACAACACGTACCTGCTATAATACTGAATAGAAATTTTTCGTTGGGCGATACCATTCGTAACACGTACAGGTCTTCGATTGCGGATAATTTTTTTAATTATATTTTCTTCTCCCTGTCCATCCCTTCACATCATGCATGACAGACTTTTTTTTTTTTCTTCATAATTTGCGTTCCCCCGTTAACAGTTCTGATGAGAGGGGACGAAACCGGTCGACTGGTGTGTGTTTTGTTTTTTTTTAAGTCTTTCAAACCTCTATATATATATATATATATATATATATATATATATATATATATATATATATATATATATATATATTAATGATATTGAGGGTCTGTCTGTCCTGTGATTGTTAGACTCTAAACCTGCAGAGGAAGAGCTCAAAAACCATTGATGTTTAAATTTATGGAAAATTACTGAGTAAAGAAAACATACCGCCAGATATCATGAAATGCAGTAAGCCTGCTTTATTGAAAACGTTGCATAGTTTTCTGAGCATCTGCTGGAGGAAAGACACGTTTCCTCAGGATATTCACAATGCCAAAATAATTTTGCTCTTCATAAAAAAAAAGGGCGGCTGCAATAGCTGTAATATCTACCGAAGTGTCTCCCTGTTAAGCATCGTTGGAAAAGACTTTGCCCGACTGGTTATAACTCGATTCCAAACCCTTGCTGATGGCATCTACCCAGAATCCCAATGTGGATTCAAGGCTAAGAGATCCACGGTTGACATTATCTCTGCATTAGCTCCAGGAGAAATATTATGAACAGCAGTTGCCACTACAAATCGTTTTCATCGATCTCTTAAATGACCTTTATAGCAGGAAAGGCCTCCTTTACTAATGAAAATTGGTTGACCACTAGAGATGATAGGCATCATTACTTCACTTCACAAGAACAACAAGTTTTAGTCGGATATGATGTTAAAACTTCAATGCTCTTCACAATTCAGAGTGGCGTAAGGGAAGGACTTTTCCATGCTACGGAGAATACTTACACATAAGAGCCAATGCCGAATTATTCAGCTTGGTTCTCCTGAGAATAAAGATCAAGGTGTACATATTCCTCATCAGAGAGATGCTGTTTGCTGATGACGCATCTCTGACCACGCACACTGAACACGACCTATAAAAACTGATTAGTCAGGTCAGCCATGCCGTTAAGGAATTCGGGCTGACTATTAACCTAAAAAAAAAGCAAATGTCATGGGTCTTGATGTTTCTGCATCTCCATCAATCAGCATCGATGACGTGATGCTTGACGTCACGGTTCACTTAAAATATCTGAGCTCTACCATTACTAGCAACCTATTGCTTCACATGGAAATTGAAAAAAACCTCGCTAAAGCGGCAGCAATGATGGCCAAACTGATCAAGAGATTATGGCAACTAACTTTGAGCAGCACACTAAATACTCTATATGCTGACGTATCAGGCGACGTGGCGTATAAGTCGACCCCAAAATTTTCAATTTAAAATGTAGTTTTTTGTCTATATTCGCCGAACAAGCCCCCCAATATACAATCGTATTTCAAAAATGTACTGAATTTATTAAATAAATTCAGTAAGTATACGCTTTCTTTTCACTCAGATCCGAATGAAAAAAAAAAAAAACGGTCGGGAGACACTTCCACTTGATTACCACAGTCTACAATACCTTATGTGTGTGTTCTATGCTGTCAGTAGGTTATTACGATAAACTGGATGACTTTTCCCGTCAACCATCCATTCGTTCCACTGCTCTCGAAGGCGATCTTTAAAAGGCATGTTGAGACACACGTCCAGTTGTGTTTTTGTTCAACATTATCGAAAAGAGGAGGCGAGGCAGGGGTTACCCTACAGTTAAAATAATCTCCCATGCTAACAATTTGCCATAGTCAACAGGATTTAAGGTTCACATTTTATACCTGGGATATAAGACGCCTCCCTATTTTGGGGTGGATTTTTTTAAGGTTAAAAGTTCGCCTTGTACGCCGACATATACGGCATTGTAGGCATGTGGCGTTCGTACCCTGCTGTACGGCAGCGAAGCTTGGACAACATTTGTCCGACAGGAAAAAGATTATCTCGCGAGATGAATAATGAATGTCTACTACTATTACTATATAATCTTTATTACTAAATAAACATTTTATTTAGTATGTAAGTAGACATCTCTGGGGGTTTTTTGGGGGGTGGAGGGTTAAAGTGTAAATCTAAGTCTACCGGCCCGTACATTCGAGAGTCTTAATAGAGGAAATATGTCTTCGAGTAGGTTTCAAACGTTCTTGCAGTTCAGATGAACTACATTCTTTAGTTCCATAGTTTTACCCTTCACGACTAAAACCCGCCATGCCACGCACATAGCAGCAAACCACCCGCATGTCCTTCCTATTCCATTAGGGAGATGGAAATTCCACTCAAACAGTTTCTTACCACGAACCGCTACTTCGTGGAACTGACTTCCAAGAGGATGCTTTCCCGGTCAGTACAACCTTAACCTATGCAGGTCTAGCTTTACCGTTATCTTTTCCACATATGCTTTGTGCCTCTTGCTCTGTAACGATCTACCTCGAGGGGCTCTTAAACCTTATACAGAGTGAAAGGTTTTCCTTTATCATAAACAAACCTATACTGAAAATCACTATTTACTTTTACCCAACAGCTGTATTAATTTGGACCTGATTAATTACTTTTTAGAAAAATGGATATCTGATTACAGTTGAATGAGTCCGCGTCAGCTATCATTACCATTTTGGATATTGGAGCCATCGCATAAAGTTCGAAGAAAGAAAAAATCAATGTTGATTCTGATAGTAAAAGTGGGTATAATCTGGACTAGGTCAGGGGAGAGTTTAGACTAGTCTATTTTATAACCCGATCTATGAAATAGGCTAGCCCCAATGATACCCAGAGTTTTATACTGATCTAGGCTAAACTATACCGAGTATATTCTGGAATCGGGGTTAATCTGGGTTGTTACGCTAGTAATTACCCCCTAGATAATCTTAAGTAATTACCCTAGATAATCTTAAGTAATCACCCTAGATAATCTCTAAGTAATCACCCTAGATAATCTTAAGTAATTACCCTAGATAATCTTAAGTAATCACCCTAGATAATCTTAACGAATATCAGCGCAGTGTTATGCTATCTGCTGGCTAAGCTCAATCTGGAAATCTCTGAATTCAAAACTATGGATGAATAATGAAAACTACTATACTGACTTTTCCAAAAACGGGCGTAGTAGTGCAAAAATAGTAAAAGAAAAAGAAGCTGTGGAGAGTCATGATTATCTAGAGTCTGAAAAAACATGGCCTTTTTCAAATTAAGTTCAAGTGTTTTTTATAACTGTTTTGTTCCGAGATAATTTTTTTCTATTCTTCGATGTGCTGTGTGTCTTCAATGCGTAGGCGATCAAGGTTCTCCACAACTTCCTATTCTTTGTAGCTCATGATTTGTCTTTTTGCTGTCCCTTCCAATCCCTGTTCTTCCACCCGTTTATACAAGCTCGTCATGTAGGTTTCGCCTGTCCCTCTTGCCTTCAATATAAACAATTGAGCGCTCAATTATTCTAAATTTTAGCGTTATTTTTGTTTCCCTTTTTTTTAAAGCTTACACATTACTCACATATTGATTCCATGAGATTCTCAGTATCTTTCTGTAGAACCACATTTCTGTTGCCTCAAATCTCCTCTTCATCTGTGAGGAGATTTTCCAGCATTCATTTTCATAGGTGTGGACTGATATAGAGCTGTTTAGTACTCTTATGAATGTTAGTTACTGCTAACAGTAGCTGTCATTGCTACTAATAATTGTTATGGGGGGTGACAGGCGAAATTTTATCGTGTTTTCAATCAAAATAAAATAAATCAACTGATTCCCCGCAGTAAGTGCATTCTATTTTTGCAGTATAAATTGAGTTAGAGGGTCATATCAAGGCTTGTCTTGAGCTTGGTAAACAAAAAAATAAAGTCACGGGGTTGTGTCTAGCATGGCTAGAGTCTCGGAAGGCGAAATAGGCGAGTCGAGTTCAAATCCAGTTCGTTGCCTCTTAGGGTAATTCATCCCCCATTTTTAGATGAAATAGTATGGCGAGACCCGTATATAGAGCTGTGGTCAGCAATCAATTTAATCGAAGGAAAATTCTGAATTTAAAACCGTACGAGACCTTGGGGAGACACATGCTTGAACTGAAATAAAAGCCTGCTTTGCATTAAAACGGGCAGCCATCCTGAAGATGACAAATCACATTGTCGAAACAACTACGATATTTGCTTTTTAAACAAGGAAATAGTGATTTTCTAAACGTAGCACAAAACTGAAAGTATAGGGCAGTAAGTAAGGATCCCTAGTAAGGATCGAAATCATTACTCAGTCGTAATTGTTCTAGCGATACAAACTTGGTAACCGTTGCACAACGACCTTTTTAAAAATAACAAAATGAATGCTAAACAGGTCTCGATTCGGCCCACTTCCTAAAATATATCCCAATGGTTATTTTCTAAGCGTAGCTTAGATGTGTGGTACAAGGCCGAAATTATGGGGCACTTAATGAGGATCAAACTCACTTTTCAGTCGTAACTGATCTAGCGAGACAAGCTTGTTAACGCATTGAACCACGTCGAGGTGTCCTTATTTTCTAAGCGTAGCTTAGATGTGGCACAAAGCCGAAAGTATGGGTCAGCCACTGAGGATTTTACTCCGTACTCAGTCGTAACTGTTCTAGCGATACAAGCTTGCTAGACATTACACGACGCCGAGATGCACAAGTTAATTTTCTAAGCGTGGCTTAGATGTGGCACAAGACCGAAAGTATGGGGCGTCCAATGAAGATCTCAGTCGTAAATGTTCTATCGAGACAAGCTTGCTAGCCATTGCACAACGCCGATGTGTCCTTAAAATATGTTCCAATGACTAATATCAAAATTTTTAGGAGGAAGCAAACGTTCTTTGCTAGTTTGAGATTTTTCAGCGCCCATCGTGATATTTTCATCAAACCAAATAAGCAAATTATTACAAGGTATCGAAGTAAACAAATTCTGTTTAAAAAAATGGAATTTGCTAGCCTTATGTTGGTTTTTGAAACCTCTAATTACAGAAGCAATAATTACTAGGACCGAATAAAGTGAAATTGTTTCAAAATTGAATGACGAGTGGGGGAAAAGTCCCGGCTAAAAACAAATATCAGCAAATATTTGAAAAAGAACCAAAATGGAACGGAAGTTACATAATTAGATGCTTAAAAATGTTATTTTAATAACTAAATTCAAACTTTTCTCGCTACATACACGTCTTTAGTGAAGAAAGAAAATAACAATGCTTTGCACACAAGTACATGAGGTTATTATTAACAACTAGCAAAGCTTCCAGTGTAAACTGAGTCTCTAACGGTAATTGTAATAATAATACTAATAAGAATATTGTTAACCTTTGAGCCCTGACCACTGCTTTACCGGTGGCAGAGAAAAATGACGTAATGCTCATTCTCCGATTGAATGTTGGTTAAACACTTCCGTCGTGTTTTGCTATTGGCTGTTTTATTTTGAAGAGCCAATCAAAAAAGCCGTAATATTCTGATGTCATCGAATGTCCGCGCTTTTTCATTTGTGCATGTGTTTTGGATAAAAAAAAAATGGCCGTTT